AAACCCCGGGGGCCCGGGGGCCGTTTTTTTCCAAATTTTCCCCCCCCCCCAAACCAAAACCCTTTCCCCCTTTCCCCGCCCCCCCTTTTAAAAAAAAACCCCCCCCAAAGGGGGCGGGCGATTTTTCCGCAAAAGGTTTAAATTTTTTTAAAAAAAAAATTTTGGGTTTCCCCAAACCCCCCGGGGGGGGCAAACCCCTCCAAAATTTTTCCCCGAAAAAGGCCCCGTGAAGACATGTTTTTTCCCGCTTTTTTTCCGGGCCGGGCCGGCCCCCCGGGAGGTAACCCCCACTTGGGGGCCCCCCGAAACCCAACCCCTTTTTGGGGGGGGTGGGAAAACGGGTCTTTGACGATTTTTTTTTTTTTTTTTCCCCCCCCGGGCCCGCCCCCGTTCTTTTGCCCCCCCCCATTAAAAACCCCCATGGGGGTCCCCAAAAAAACTTCCCAAAGTTACAAAAGTTCTTAAACCCCCAAAAATTTTAAACCCTTTTTTTAGTTTTTTTTTTTCTTTTTTAAAACGCTTTTTTTTTTTAGCCACTAAGGGCCTTTATTTTCCCCTTTTATTTAAAATTTTCCTTGGATTTTTTGGGGGGGGTTTTTTCCCAAGAGGGGGGGAAAAACTTTGAATTATGGGGCCCGGAGCGCTTTATTCAGTCCTTTTCAGTTAAAATCACCCACCTGAACCCAAATTTTTTTAACCCCAAAAATTTTCAACCAAAACCTTACACTTCGGGGGCCGATTAAAAGAAGGATTATACTTCCCCCCCCCCCAAAAGGACCAAATCCCTTTTCTTTTCCCCTGGTAAAATTAAAAGGGGGGAAAAAAAAGGGAAAAGGGGGCCAAACCCCTTTTTTTGCAATGGGGAAAAAAAATTTGGGAGAAACAATGGGTGGGTCTTCCTTTTTTTGGATTTTAAGAATATGTGAAATCCCCTTGGGGGGGGGGGGGGGGGGGGGGGGGGGGGGGCCTTTATTTGGCCCACAAAATGGGTTTTTTGGGTCCAGCGGGGAACATAGCATTTTCAAACAAAAACGGCAAATTTTTAAAGAAAAAATTTTCCCTTTCCAGGGATGTTTTGTTGCGGGACGGGGGGAAAAATTTTTACGCACTTTTTCCTAAAAAAATTTCTGATCGCCCGATCCCCCTTTCCGAAAAAATCTGAAGGGAGAATTTCACACAGATCACCAGTGAAGGGCTGACATCGCTCCTTCATATGCAATGTAAAAACAGAATGGTTGGCCGCACAGACAGCAATGTGGTGGATCAAATCCTTTATTGGAATCCTTTACATGCAATATGATAAGAACATGACAGCTCCACGATAGGAAAGAGGAGCAGTAGACGCGTTTCACAAGAACAGCAATGTGGTGGATGAAATCCTTTATTGGAATCCTTTACATGCAATATGATAGGTACATGACAGCTCCAAGACAGGACAGAGGAGCAGTAGACATGTTTCAAACAAACACGTGCTTAGTTATTACACCGCTCCTTCATACATTGGCCATTTCTGTCAGTGATAGATCCTCTGTGTGCTGAGATGATCAGCGGAGAACATGTTCTCCACTGATCATCTCTGTTTCCTAAACCACTAATTATCTGAGATCAGCAACAATCCTTAAGATCCCTGCTGATCTCAGTTTCATAAAAGGACACCTAAATTGTATAATTTAAAAAAATGTTGCCTTCTCTACCCTTGCATTTAATACTGGCTAACATGGTTCATCATATTTTTTTAATTTTACATTTGTGGTTGTAAAGTCTTATATATAGCCAGTGAAGTGACTGACTTTAGTTGATACACAGAGATGAAACAAATCCTCCTACATAAATTGAACCTGTGTATCTGCAGCCCTCTCTTCTCTACATCTGTTCAAATTGCTGGCAAAAGGAGTCACTGAGCACAGCAAGGAACACAGGCACTCAACATTCCCAGAAGTTTTCAATGCTGGAGACTTAGCTAGAGGTTGTACTGCCTAAAGCCAGCAAAGTGTAGACCTGCCACCCACTGAGGAGGTCAAAATGTCTTTTCTTACACAATTCAAGCTTTTCCTTTTTTTTTTCTGTTGGAAAGACCATTCGGATGAGCAACAATAACCTTAAGAATTAAAAAAATATTTTTATTTTATTTATACTTCATGAATTGAGTTGCAACCATGAAATAAAAAAAAAAAAACAGAGATTAAGATCAGGGCGCTAGGAGGAACATTTTAAAACGTTTTAAAATCTATTACTGCAGGATATTATATTGAACCTGTAAAACCATTATACTGGTCATATGGGTGTCTCTACCTCTTGATTAAAATGGTCCAGCCTACAGGTCAGGTCTCTACACAACCATTTTTTAAGGGAAATTTTATTAATTTAAGAAAACAGTAAAAACAGATACAAACAGTGTATATCCACTCATCACGAGTTAAAGATACAATAAAGATATATATCGACAGTATGGCCAAATATATGTATAGGATATGTCATTCAATATCTTGTCCACAGTGGTTAATACAATATTTAGCCATTGCAAAACAAAGGTATAACAATGTTAGACTCCTATACCATAGATAGACCAATAAAGTTATTACAATGTAAATTATATTAAGTGAAACAAGCTGTCCATATCATACCATCCCAATCTATAAAGTAAGATAGAGAAGCACTGTATTTACAAGAACTAAATAATTACATTATGATGGGCATTTACATTTCTTCTTTATTTCTTTCCTTTTTTAAGGAGCTTGAGGAAAGAGCCAGTATTTAATGATGATCTAGCGACCTCAATTACCTGTGGAACTGTGGTCATCAAACCCAATATTAAAAGGTTTACTGAATCCTCAGCAGTCTTTGAAGATGATTCTGTAATGAATAATATTGATGTTGTCATATTTGCAACTGGCTACTCCTATGCCTATCCATTTATGGATGACTCCATCGTAAAAAACAGCAAAAATAAAGTCTCTCTCTATAAAGGAGTATTTCCAGCAACTCTTGAAAAGACAACCCTGGCTGTCATTGGTTTAGTCCAATCTTTAGGTGGTATCCCACCAACCTCTGATGTGCAGGCTCGATGGGCAGTGAGAGTTATCAAGGGTAATTAAACAAAATCTTATACCTATGCCCTATTCAAAACATTAGTCTTGGAACATGGAACAAAATGAATGCTTAGCTACATATATTTTATACATGTATTTATTATATAAGTTATGCACTTGGGAGCTAAAAATATGCATGCATCATATAATCTACAGTATAGGAGAACATCTGAGTAAGTCAACGATAGAGGAAGGCCTGTGTGTTGTGATAAATCATAGACTTAATAACAGCACGCAATGCCATGCTGCAATGTCAAGCAAAGTACTTTCTTGTATTAAAAAAAGGTATAGTGGTTGATTTACAAAAGGCAAATAGGCTTTTCACTTTGCAAGAGAATTTATACTTTGTAAGGAAATTTTTTCCTTGGTTAGTGAATGATGTGAAGCTCTGCTAACTCTATACGTACAGATAATAACTAGCTATTCATATCTATAAGTATTAACACTGCAGATTTTTGATCCAGGGAGTATCTGATAACAATAGGGAACAAACTAGAAGCAAATTGGACTATGCTTTATTAGGTTTTTTTTTTTTACTGCATCTAGATCTTGTGGGTTCAATTTGATGGGCATATGTCTTTTTTTAATCTATGTTCTTATTTTAATAATCACATCATTCTATCACAGGCTCCAATTGCCATTCTTTCCAGGATTTTTTTTCTATTTTGGATTTTACAAATTATACAGCTCCTGAGTGCTGTTACAAATTAAAGTCTGTGGTTAAGTCAACATAAATGAAAAAAAAACAGCTGCTAAAAATAATAAGGGGAAGAAAAGATTTTATACGTTAAACTGAGCATGTATTTATAGATAACAGTTTTCAACAAATATTAAAGCTGTTTAGATTACAGCATAGAGAAAAACACTTAAAGTGTTACTAAATCCACAACAGTAAAATCAGTCTGTATATGCAGTAAAGCATGCTTGTTATATTCACTGTGGAACCTAAGTGGCTAATCCTCCACATGTGTGTAAAAAGGCTGTTTGATCCTGACTTCTCTGATCCCTTCCGTTCTTCTACTGTCCCCAATCAATCTGCTGATAGTACAGAGCTCTAGAAGTCACTCTGCACATGCTCAGTTTGGTATACATTGCTAAAGACGTTTTTTTTTTTTCTTTGGGAGGGTGAATGTGATCAGCACAGGGCCAATCAGCACTGTCTAGACAGAGGGTCAGGGGTCATGCAGCCTCATAGGACAATCAGAGCAGAATGAAAACTCCTCCTACAAGCTTTAACCAGTGATTAGCTGAACAATGATAGAAGTCACAAGACTGTTATATACTGCTGATAAGAAAAGGTATTTAGCAGTTTATATTTACTACAATAATTGCATTTCTATGTAGTATGTACTGTGGGAGACCAGATATAGTGAATGCAGGGTCCTGGGTTTAGTAACACTTTAAAACTATGTTATCAAATACCTTGTTTTAGCTTAATACATACATTTAAAATACAGTTACAAATATAAATAAATGTTCATTATACATAATATAATGTTATTTACTTGGTTATGCATATCAAGTGATACAAATGGTAAGGAACAAAAGCAGACAACTCTAAATTGAGCAACTTAAATTGCCACATGGAACAACTTTAGTACAGTGCATACATTACTCTACAATATTTTACCCTAATCATGGCTCCTCCACAGCACCTATTTCTCGACATCCAGCATTACCTACCTTAAATTACAGATAGAATGATGACTTAGAACATCATATTAGGTGGAAGAATCTTAAAGCAAAAACATAACTTGTGTATGAAAATTGAACACTCATCTTTATAGCATCAACATATTGGTTTTTTGAATATTTGTTGATGAAATTATTTTAGAATTTGCCTTATGTTTGATGTGTTTAATGTTACTTGTTGTTGTTTTCTTAGGTTTATGTAAGCTTCCATCAAAAGACACAATGGTTAATGAACTAAATGAAGAGGAAGGAGAGAAGAAAAGCTGGTAGGAGATATTATGACCTTCATTTTATTATTTCCAATATTGATAAGTTCAGCATAAAAACGCAAATCATCAAGTTTCCATACAGACCAGTTATTCCAGCAATCTTAGAATTTCTTTATCTTAATACTAAAAGAAAAAAATATTCTATATAGTTTTTCCTTTGCTTTATTATTAAACCTCATGCAGAATGAATAAGTGGTAGAAACAGGAGGAATTTAAATACCTGCTCTCTCATCTTTTAATCTGCCTAATAAAATAATTTGAAAATAACTTCCATATAGCAAGGAAGCAACATTATAACTTTTTGACAGTTTTTAGAAAATAAATCTGCTGCAGATTAATTATGATAAAAGCAGCTTTTTATTAATAACCAGGATTCTCTTTCTTCTTTTATACTTTTTTGGCAACAAAAATGTTAATTGAAGCGCATGCCTCCAAAGGACAGAATATTTATACAGTACTACTAAACCTTCTTGAGGGCTCTGACAGTGTTATTTTCTGTTGTGCACCTAACATTCTTTGAAATGCTATTATTCCTTCTCATTGTCCCTGAAAAATAATGCATTTGCATACACTAAGCTAAAGAAGATGACAGTTATTGTTCTCTGTGGCCTGGTCCAACCTAAGTGCAAGATTTTAAAGGATACTGGGAACTCTATAGAAGAAAAATACTGTACCAGCCCTATGCATGCCTGGCAATGGTAATTTAACATTCTGCACCTCAGAAATATTCTTATTATTATTATTATACAGTATTATTATTATTATTATTATACAGTATTTATAAAGCGCCAATAGTTCGCTCAGCGCTGTACATTACAGAGGGGGACAGAACATGTGACAGAACAATACCAATACAATGCAAAACATGAGGGGATTGAGGGCCCTGCTCTTTCGAGCTTACAATCTAGGAGGGAGGAGATGGTGGCACAGGAGGAGATAGCTGTGGGGGATGTAGTGGTAGGAAGAGTGGAGGAGGTCGGCAAGTTAGCAGGGGGTGGGGTAGGCTTCCCTGAAGAGATGGGTTTTCAGGGTGCGCCTAAAGGAGAGGAGAGTAGGTGATAATCTGATGGGTTGGGGCAGGGAGTTCCAGAGGATGGGTGACACCCTGGAGAAGTCCTGGAGGCGGGCTTGGGAGCAGGAGACCAGGGAACTAGAAAGAAGGAGGTCTTGTGAGGAGCGGAGTGTGCGTGTTGGGCGGTACTTGGATATTAGGTCAGTGATGTAGTTCGGGGCAGTATGGTGGACAGCTTTGTACGTCAGCATTAGGATTTTGAATTTGATCCGTTTGCGCAATCGGAAGCCAGTGGAGGGATTGGCAGAGGGGGGTGGCGGAGACAGAGCGGTTGGAAAGGTGAATGAGTCTGGCAACCGTATTCAGGATCAACTGAAGCGGGGATAGCCAACGGTGAGGCAGGCCAGTGAGGAGGGAGTTGCAGTAGTCGAGTCGTGATATGATGAGGGAGTGGATGAGCTGTTTGGTGGTTTCTGGAGTTAGGAACGTGCGGATTTTGGCGATGTTGCGGAGGTGGAGTCTGCACGAGTTTGTTAAAGATTGGACTTGGGCCTGGAAGGATAGGTTGGAGTCCAGAATGACACCAAGTACTCTGGCCTGCGGGGCCAGTATTTATAAAGCGCCAATAGTTCACTCAGCGCTGTACATTACAAAGGGGGGACCAAACATGTGACAGAACAATATCAATACAATGCAAAACATGAGGGGATTGAGGGCCCTGCTCTTTCAAGCTTACAATCTAGGAAGTTTATATATTTTTACTAACATATATGGAGAACATGGGTTGTTATTTTAAAGCTACCATATTACTTCAAGAGAAAACCCCAAACTGTATGTTGAATATTTATTTTTTCTTTATTTTTTCATATTTCTTTTGTGTATTTAAGGTTTGGACGAAGTGAAACATTGTCAACGGATTATGTCAATTACATGGATGAATTAAGTTCCTTTATTGGCTGCAAACCCAAACTTCCTCTTCTCTGCATTACTGACCCAAAACTGGCATTTGAAGTATTCTTTGGTCCTTGTAGCCCCTACCAATTCCGTCTGATGGGGCCAGGTAAATGGAACGGTGCTCGAAAAGCAATTTTAAACCAATGGAACAGAACTATCAGTGCCACAAGAACAAGAGTTGTTCCTTCTCTTCAAGAGTGTTCCTGGATTATTACATTAGTCAAGTTAATGTTTCTGCCTTTACTTCTTGCTGTGTTTCTGGCTTGGTCTTAGATTCTTTTTGCCATCTGTGAATAAGTTAGGTCATTTCCAATTTTTAGACAGAGACTAAACTTACATCATATTACCATTTTTAATTAGTGAGCTCATTTGCATTTTACACACTGGAGTTTACATAATTATGACTAATATTAGTATGTTAGAAAAATATACCTATATTTACCAAGCATATTTTTATGACTAAACTGTAAAGTCGCTTTAAGTAAAGAGGCTTTCAAAACATTGTGTTTTTATTTCACAGTGATATTCATCCATCAATAAAAAATTTAGTTTTACCTCCAATTCAGTTTTTATCCATCTATAAAACATGGTGCTATCTATTCATTTGTTTTGGATGCAATGCAGAAAAACTTACATTTCTGTTTTTTTATTTCTGTTTCTGACCCTACTGGGGATATTTTTTTCCTACAAGATATAGGAGGTATAGTTTACAACAGGATAGGAAGGCACAGAAGTTCAGAACTTTCCTCATTCTTTTAGAAATGTGTCTTTGTTTTTGTTCATGTGCCCCTTGGAGAAATATTCCATGATATTCTACGAAGAAGTGAGGAAAAATTGTCCCAGTAGAGCAGAGAAAGCTATAAAAACCTGATAGAGGCTCTAATCCTTCAATAATCTATCCAAAACATAATAAAATGTTTGGGCTAAGGTATATGTCCAATGTCTGGTACACACATTGGGGTTAATTTACTAAAGGAAAATAGGATGCTTACTTTGCAGGTGACTTTTCCCTTAGTATAGTGAATGAGGCGAAGCTCTGCTGACATCTACCATCCAATCATGTGCAAACAAAATACTGTTTTCTTATTTTTCTTGCAAGTGGTTGGCATTCAGTGCAAATTGAAGTTTCACCACATTGACTAAGCTCTGGGAAAATTCATTTGCAAAGGGAATAAGCAGTTCTCCTTTAGTAAATCAACCCTATTGTGTGCATTGCATTGCATGCTGAGTATAAATTATGTTATAGAACTACCATATCTAAGTTGTTTTGTTTTCCATAAAAGGTGTTTTTTTCTCCATTCCTGGATTCATCCTCGCTGTCTCTGAAGATTTACAAGTCTTCAGCAAGGGTAGACGATGGGAATTGCAGAAACAACAAATAACAAAATGATTGCGAAACAAAACATTATCCTTCCATGTGATTATTCTTTGTAACATTAATCTTTCAACAAATACAGTCCAGTCCTCAAAAAGGAAAAAGAAAAAAAACAAGATGTACAACCATAAGTTTTGCTTAGTGTCCATTTAAAGGTTCTTGCAATAAAAGCCACGGAAGCTGGGGTGGAGCCTGACGATGGCGGCGGCGGAGAGCTCGAGCTAGGAGCTCTCGCACGAGCCCTCTCTGACCGACCCCCCCTCTATTCGGTCTTAATTCCCCCCAGCGGTATGGAGCCCTAGTTGGCAAAGAAATACCTCGGTCTGGGGGGCTTTCTTCAATGGGCAGCGGTGCGCGGTTGAAGCCGGAGAGTAGTGGAGAGAGACTGGGACGCTGAGCCTGGTTGCCGGGAGACGAGGAGGCGCGACCGGGGCACGTGACCAGCCGCGGTGCATCCCTGGGAAGCAGGGACGCCGGCCGGCCTAAGGCGGACAGGGGGAAGGAGAGGCGTGGGAAATTGGAAGCCGGCTGTCTCCCCGATGTGATAGGGAGACGCTCACTGCTGCCTATACCCCCCTACCTATCTGGATGTCCGCACCTGGACCTGGTGGAGCCAGGAATACCAGGATTCCCATCCTGCCTCCTTGGGACGAACCCTAAGGAGGAAAAGAAGAAGAGAGGAAAAAGGAAAGGAAAAGAAGAGGGAAAGAAAAATAACACATCATCGGAAACCCTGAGAAATCCCCCCCTCCCAGGATTGAGCAGTAGCGATGGCCCCCCCGTACAAGCATGGAGCTACCGTCTTTGAGAAGGGAAGGGTGAGTGAGAACTACTGGAGACTTATTGTGTTGCTGTGTTGTGGATCCCAGAGTGACATAGGAGACCAGGAGGTGAAAGGGGAGGGGAGGATTTCCAGGGTAAGAAGAGAAGAAGAGAGGAGGCTCAGGTGTCCTAGGAAAATAAAACATAAAAAATTGCAAGTTTGTCTGGTACAGAAATTATAAAGGAGAGGTACAATCCCATCTTGAAGATATAGAAGGAAAAAAAAAAAAAAAAAAAAAAAAAAAAAAATAAATTTTAATAACAGAAATTTCACAGAGGATATGAAGAATAAGGGGTCCCAAGGCAGCAGGGCCCAAAGGGTCTCAAACAGGAACAATAAAGAAATTTACATCATATGGAAATATTACGCCAGAAAGGGCCCAGGGCACAAGCACAAAAGGGGAAATGGACATTAGTTCAGGTAATAGTCCGAGGTTATCATTGGGCATGAATAGCAGCTGCAGCCAACAAATAGAGGACGGTTCGGGAAAAGAAAATCAGATGGGGAACTACAAGCACCAAACAAGAAGGAGATGATAGAAATGTTTCAGAACCTGGAAAAAATGATAAAACATGAAATGACAGCTATATTCGCAATGACCTAGGGCACCTGCTTTCAAGAATAGAAGAAACAGAGGAGAAAGTTAAAATTCAAGCTCAAAACTTCGATAACTTAAGGAAAAAAATAAACCAACAGGAAAACATTCAGAAAAAATGATCTATAGGATGGAAGCCCAAGAAAATAAAGAAAGAAGGTTGTAACCTTAGGGTACGAGGAATTCCAGAGACTGCAAAAGGCGAAACACTATATGAACTAGTGAAAAAAATCTTTAACTCCATAAGAGAATAGACCTGAAACAGACGGGATCAAGTTAGACGGAGTGTTTAGAATAGGAAAGCTCAAACAGGCTAATGAGAAGGAAAGACCGAGAGACATAATTGTACAGTTCCAAAAATTTGGGGTCAAAGATGAGATTTGGAAGAAGACCAAAGAAGATCATTAATTAAGTATAGAGATTTGACTATCCAAATTTATGCAGACTTAACAGCAGAGACCCCTATGGAGAAGGAGATCCCTGAGACCCCTGTTGGAGCAAATGAGGAAACAGAATGTGCAGTATAGATGGGGTATCTCAGCATCTCTGATTGGCTGGAAAAACGGGGTCACAGCCTACTTGAGAATTTCCGGAGGAACTAAGGGTCTTTTGCGAGAGACTGGATTTGCAAAGAATTGAGATGGCGGGGTGGGAAGAAGAAGAAGAAGATAAAGGAGATACAGATGTTACGAGGAAAGAGGACTGGCAGCGGTCGGGGGGAGGGGGAGGGAGATTTTGGGGTTGGGGAGGGAAGGGAGGGAGAAATTAAGTAGAAATTATGTGTTTTTTTTTTTTTTTTTTTTTTTTTTTTTTTTTTTCTCTCTCTCCTGCTTCCGTCTCTCGCGCCCTGATCTCTCCCCTCCGGATGTTGAGGTCCCTCAGAAACATTCTGGTGAAGGGAGGGAAGTTAAGATTCTTCTTGAGCCTGGAACGTTAGAGAGAAGAGATCTGGGGGGGTCGGAGGAGAGGAGAGCCGTCCATGGGCGGAGCTTACGCCCTAAGTCTTAAATCAAAGGTGGAAATAGATCCACAAATGATTTGTAGGCAGTTTATAAGCCTAAAAAAACGGGTAGGGGGAAAAAAAAGAGAGGGGGGGAGGGAGGGGGGAGTGGAGATGGGGGTCGGGTGGGAGGATGTGGGTGGAGGGGGGAGGGGAGGTGGGGTTAAAATGTTGCACGATAGAAGGGCCTAATAGAAAGAGGTTTTATAGAAGAAAGATAGACAGATTTAAGAAGGATGGAAGAAATACAGGTTATAACATATAATGTGAATGGGTTGAACTGTCCTGGGAAAAGATTTAGTTTGTTTAAAGAGCTACACCACAGGGCATCGTCAGTTGTATTTTTACAGGAAACACATTTTGAGATAGAGTCAAATGTGAAATTAAAATCAAAATATTATCCAACATGGTATTATGCTGACTCCCCAATTAAAAGAGCAAAAGGGTGGCAATAGGGTTGGCAAAGAACATGAGATTCGAGCTGGAGGATAGAAGAGAACTGATCCGGAGGGAGATTCCTATTTTTGAAAGGTAAATTACAGGAATCGAGTGTACTTTAGCCAATATATATTGCCCCAACAAAAAGCCGGAGATCTACTTGAAGGGGCTGTTGAAAAAACTGATGGACTTTAAAAAAGGGCATTTGATAGTAGCAGGAGACTTAAATCTCTGCATGGATCCCCAAAAGGATGCAACCTCCCCTGTGCGGAGAGAGGGGGGTGGGTCTCTGAGAGCTTTGAAGAAGGCGATCCACGAGTACCAGCTGGTGGACACTTGGAGAATAATGCATATGAGAGACAGAGACTACACCTTCTTCTCTAAGGCACATGAGATATATTCGAGGTTGGATTATTATTTTGATAAATCATCAACTCATAGAGCTATTGGTTAAAATAGAAATAGAGATGAGTACGTTCTCGGATCATGCCCCTGTCACAATGAAAATAGGATGGGGGAAGACGGTGGACGGGAGGTTTAGGATGGAGGTTAAATGAGGCCCTTCTTTTGGATGAGGACATAGCTCAGAAGATTTTGGGGAAGAGATCAAGCTATATTTTAAGGAGAATGAGACAGAGGAAGTATCAACAGCCACAGTTTGGGAAAGTCACAAGGCATATATAAGAGGTATCCTGATTGCGATGGGAGCAAGGAAGAAAAGAGAAAGAAGAGAGAGGGTTAGTGGGCTCCTAAAAGAAATCCTGGATCTAGAGCAGATACAAAAGAAGAAAATAACAAGAGAAATAAGAAAGAAGTTAATGGATAAAAAAGATGAATTAGAGAGATTGATGGACGAAGAGAGGAGAAGAGTATATAACAAAGTACTAAATGAAAGATATAGATGGGGGGCGACAGACCAGGAAAATATTTAATGAGAGCTCTGAATAAAAAGAAAAATAGAAACTATATAGAAAGGATAAAAATTCTAAAGGAGAATTGGTTTATTCAACCAAAGGGATTATTAAAGTATTCACGGAATACT